TCTGTAGGAAGTGGGAGGAATTGAAAGAGAAGTTGTTGAGTGTGAGGTGAGACTGATTATACAGTCAAAATGTGAACCATCGCTGTAATAGATGAAGGTTCTTACCCAGTTTGGCTTCGACTGGATTGATCACATGGGGCAAGCTATCCTCATTTAAGGAAAAGCTTGATGAGGTCTTATTGTAGCGTGGTGTTACACCAAGAACTGCGTAGTACAGTATCTGTAAAGAGAGAGCTGGGGTTAGTCATGAGTCTCAGTCCCCTCAGCACAGACAGAGGTGGGAATGGCAGAGAATCAGTATTAAGGTCTTAACCATGTTGCTAACTATCTGAAGTGCATTCAGCTAAACACTCCGAAAAATCACAGTGGGGTTGCTTAAAGAAACAAGCACTATGCGGACAATTTCAGTGATCTTTTTACAGGTTCCCTACCTTCAATGAGAAAGGCCACTTCCAATAGGTTTCACTAAGCTCTTCTACCTAATCCACCAAATCATGAAAAAGGAAAATGGACCGTCAACTTTATTGCAAGAGGATTAGAGTATTAAACGAGGAAGTCTCACTACGACTGCAAAGGGCCCTGTGAAACTACATCTGGGCTACGGCACACGGATTTAGTCTCTTTACTGAAGGAAGAATATACCCGCATTGAAAACACATACCCACACAAACACACTCTCTGTCACCCCTAACCAACACATACGTAGGCGCGCGCACTCTCTGTCCCCGCCTCTCTGACACATACGTAGGCGCGCGCTCTCTCTGTCCCACCCGGCTCGTGCGCGCGCTCTGTACCCCGCGTCTCGCGCGCGCGCGCGTGCTCTCTCTGTTCCCCCGTCTCCCTCTCGCGTGCGCGCACTCTCCCCGTCTCTCTCCCTCTCGCGTGCGCGCACTCTCCCCCGTGTCTCTCCCTCTCTCGCGCGCGCACTCTCCCCCGTCTCTCTCTCTCGCGCGCGCACTCTCCCCGTCTCGCTCTCTCTCGCGCGCGCACTCTCTCCTTCGCTCACACACACACGCGCGCACATTCTCTCATTCGCACACACACACGTGCGCGCACACTCCCTCTCTCACACACACACACACTCACTCCCACTCCCACACACACACACTCCCACACATACACACACTCCCTCTCTCACACACACACACACTCCCTCTCTCACACACACACACACTCCCTCTCTCACACACACACACACTCCCTCTCTCACACACACACACACACACACACACA